TTCCAATTACTGCATTATCGTTCCTCTGCAAATATTTTTTCTGCATTAGAGCCAGCACTATTTCCGAAGTCCGCTCTAAAAATATAATCCCTCCTCCGTAAAGTAAGCTTTTCCTTGTTAGCCCCTCCTTCAATTTCCCGATTACTTTTCTTTTCTATTTATATCTTTCCTTTTTATCCCTCCAAATTTCACAATAATTTATTCTCCCCGATCTGCAGTTCTTTCAGACAAAAATTCCACAGAAAAATGTACAGAGAGACCCCAACATGCGGACACATCAACCTGTGGACAATTCGACATAGGGACGCTTATTTTCCCAGAAAAAATTAATAAAAAAGGCCTGACATGAGGATACTGACTCGACATAGGGGCATTTTGTTATAAACTTGCAAATACATTTCAGGCCAAATTACAAGAAACAGATATTTCCAACCCTAAAATTGATGTCAGAAAAGTTCTTGGGCATTTCTCTCACCAATTTACCATCCATTTAGCTAATTTTTAAAAATTACCTTCGACATAGAGGGACTTCNAATTACAAGAAACAGATATTTCCAACCCTAAAATTGATGTCAGAAAAGTTCTTGGGCATTTCTCTCACTAATTTAACATCCATTTAGCTAATTTTTAAAAATTACCTTCGACATAGAGGGACTTCTACTTTTTTTTGCTTGAATGTTATTTTTGTAGATGCCAACATTTCAATGTACTGTACAGAGATGCACTATTCAATTCTCCAAAGGTTCTTATTGAGTTGAAAATGTATTCACTAATTCAAATTCAAGTGGCAAAAAAAATTTTTCAGGGAATTATGAAGAATATTTCTCCCATAAAACACCAATTAAAAATTATCTAAGGTAAGTCTATGGGAAAACAAGACTCAAATTAGGGGCAATTCAACTTAGGGACATTCTTGATGCACCAATTATGTCCGCATCTTGGGGTCTCACTTTCCTGAAAATTACGCAGATGTTCAAATTTATTTGAATGCATTTGCTGACGTCATTTGAAAATGAGGACTAGCCAAACCCAGCAAATAATTTGTTACAGGTATTGCTGCGCATAACAGTTACGCATTAAAAAACGCATTTGTTATGCATCACTGTTATGCCCAGCATCTTCTGAAACGCCTTTCTTTTTTTTCTTTGTTGAAAATTCAAGTGGCAAACAATTTTTTTCAGGGAATTATGAAGAATATTTCTCCCATAAAACACCAATTAAAAATTATATATTGTAAGTCTATGGGAAAACAAGACTCAAATTAGGGGCAATTCAACTTAGGGACATTCTTGATGCACCAATCATGTCCGCATCTCGGGGTCTCACTTTCCTGAAAATTACGCAGATGTTCAAATTTATTTGAATGCATTTGCTGACGTCATTTGAAAATGAGGACTAGCCAAATGATAGTCCCTTATCTTACAGTTTCTGGAGCAACCTTCAAGTAAGATTTTTTTTTTATTTTCGCGGAAACATGATAAAGTATCATGATATATAACGTGTAAAATTCTCCGAAGAGAAATGCATGCACCAAGTTAAGTGGTTGGGAATGCAGGTACTTCGCCCATTCAACAGTTTCACGCATTTGTGGCGAAAAACTGCAGAAAAATCTGTGGGCTCAAGAAATTTCACGTCATGCTGACAAAATCTTAAAAAGAAAACCGTTCTACTATTTACTGAAATATCGTGCGATTGGAACGTGATCAGGCACCCGTCCATTTTTTAGTGTTCTACTGTGACGTAAATTTGCATTCACGTCCACAATTAGGTTAAATCTACATGAAATAACGAACCTTCTGGGAATTGCTGGAAAATTGAATTAAGCAAGCCACAACTTCATTAGGTTCGTAGTTCATAGCATGACAAGATGAAATTACTGTAATCGTCATTCCTAAGAAAAAGATGAAACGAAAAATTACAGACTCCAACAAATGCATTTGCGTCTTTCTTGATATGCATGATCATTGCTTCTAACCATACTTGTTGGATCGCGTCAAAGAGAAGCATTCAATCAACTGTTAAGTACAGTACCTTACTTTTCCTTGTTTCAATTAACCGTACAAATGATCGAATACAGTACTCTCTTTCGTTCAACGGCATTTATATGCTCTCCGAGAACCAGATGAAAATTTTCATGCATGACTATTTCCAATTTAATGGTCATTCTTATAATGATCATACTCATTCCAAGCTGCGGTATTTATCGATCTGAAGTGTGTCGTTTTCACTTGAATAAAGCGTAACGAAGACATTTGGTCGTTATCCCGTTCAGTGAAGGTTCCATTGACACGAATTCTTCGGGGAGTTCCCATTTATAATTCAATGAAGTACCTGCTACTCTATCGTAAGTCTATTTATCTTCGCTGTTACTGTACTTCTTTTGTAAAAAATAACGTTAGGAAAATGCATTTGTGGTGCCTCATTCCCTGATGTGTTTCCTCGCTTAAAAACCGGACGGAGAAATGAGTTCTTCAATTGAAACGGGACCACGTAGCGTGAAGAATCGCGGACTTCCGCACAGCAGTCGGCTACGTGAAATTGCTCCGTCACAGGGCACTTCTTAGTTGGATATTGCACGCACGACGGGGATTTACCTGAGGGACGATATTGGCGAAATCCGAGATGTGCGAGTAAGATATGAGAAAGCGGTGGCATTGATATGCAAATACGCTTCATCCGCGGGCAGAAATGACAGCAGGTTCTCACCCTGGAAGTGCAACGCTTCGCTTCACGGAACCTGACACCCCACCCTACTCCCGTCAGGCATACAACGTCAAAACTGCCCCTCTATCCCACTTTCCAGCTACTTTTCAACACGGAGTCGACGGAAAACTGAGATTTACACGTGCGATACCGGAGCAGTGGGCAAAGAAATGTGTATGACGGGGCTTCAGCGGGCAAGGGCGAAGAGAAAATCTTTACGAGCGACGACAACCCCCAAGTTTTCTCTCCTTTTTTTTCAACGCGGGTATCCCGGAAGAATCACGGGTAAAAATAGCGACTTGATGACAGCTATGACGATCCGTTAACGGAAATAGTTGGCGAGTGAGTAGAATTTCTTTTTCCAACGTGGCTGGCTTTCACGCTATGCGACGAAAAAACAAATATACAGTATGAATATAAGGGAGATGTTCGATCTTGACCAACATGAAACATCCCCGCAATGATGGGTCTCCTCTGGAAACTGCCGTCCCGGGAGCTGCCGTCACCCGCGGTCTTCCCGAAATATTTACTCCCGCCGTGAATGGTCACCCCGTAATGAGTCCAAATCAAATGTTTCCAGCTCACTACCAGTAACGACACAAGCTCCTGATTTATGTTACTGAGGATCCAATTAATTCAGGGAACAAAGCGAGCCGTGAAACTTCCGTGGGCAATTTCCAGCAATACGAAAAAAAAACAGCTTTCGCGAATACCGCAGAATAACGAGCAAATTTTTTTACATGGTTTGCCAAGTTCAGGTGAAGTTCGATGGGCGAGGCGAGAGCGAATAATATAAGCTTAGGTGAGCCATTTGCCCGACGTGCAAAGAAACGGGGGCATAAGTGGGTATAATTTACTGCCGTCTAGTTCATGGGCCTGTCCATAAAGGGACCCGTACCCCAATCCTTCACGCGGGGAATTCCGTAAAGAAAAATTAAGAAAAAGAACCCGCAGTGTTTTCGCATCTTGACCACATTACGAGATGGGAGAAGAAACTAGGTCATTCGTTTCCGGCCCCCACCGAACGTCATGATTGATTAAAGTTCCGGATATCCGCGATGATTCGAGAGATTGCCAGAAGAATGTCGACGTCGGAGAATATGGAGACCCCGGAATTTCTCCGCGCGAAGTGAGTGCCGTTACGCGATGGAAGATTTGCGAAGGGACCGTGTTTGGTACTGGCTTTTCTGCCAGAGAATGAATAGGCATACCCTTCAGTAGGAATTTTTCCTCAATGCGGTCACGCAATCGGGATGAAAAAGAGAAAAAAGATTCCATAGAATCCTGGCATTTCAGCTACATTTCCTCCCTTTGTCGCATTGTGAAATAGGCTTTCTTTGCATCCAGCTTATTAAAAAAAATTTTTAAAGAAAGAACAACTGAAAAGGTATAAATCCTCGCTGTCAGGGAACCCCGGATAACGAATGATCCTGAAATATCATGCATCCTGACTTCCTGAGGCATGACATATTCCACATGGAACTCAAAAAGCCACATAATTATGAATTTAGTATGCTGCATTAACCTTGACTAATTTTCAAACTGAATCATGCATTTTTAGCATTTCCCTTCCTCATATCTTGATATTCCTAGCTTTTATGTTTGCAATGCCTATGCTACATAGTTAGAAGAGAGAAGACCAGTCTTCTCCGTAGACTAGCCTCCAAGGAAACATCGTATTTCGCAATTAAACGCCGAATGTAAAAACGGAATACACCACTTACACCGTTATGGGACATTGATTTGTGTTGAGAAGCTGTGTAATGATGTAAGTGCTGCGTTACATTTAGAAAAATTCAAGGAAAAATGAAAATAACTTGACCAATATCGCAACAGAAAGGTTTCCCGAAAAAAAAATCGGTTTCCTATATGTGGAAATTATTTCATCGAACGTTGCAAATGCAGTATGAGACAGTAATTCTGCAGAGGTACGATTCGGGTGGTGGAATATAGCATCTAATCGAGTAAATGCGATAATTCCATAAGTGAATGACACAAATTTTCTGCGACTTTGATTCAGAGAAATTCATTCCTCCAGTTTTCGTCCCTCCGGATATTTTGCTCTGAATAAATTTGTCACGATGTGCTTTAAGAAAGTTCGTTTATCCTGAACGACGGGGAACAGTGGTGTTCTATGCCTAGTCTTCCGTGAGTTCATCCATAGGGCGAAGTCTTTCTGTTCCTAGCTGATCTACTGATCGTTACTGTCAGCTCCGGCAGGGGATTGAAAGGATTTTCGTCGGGACGGGTGTACATACGTCACTTGACTCCAATTTAAAACCAGAAAAAAAACTCACCAATAGGGTGGGGCCCGAGGATCGACACAATAATGACAAGGACGACAGCCACGATGACGTGATTCTCCAGGAAGTGATGTCCACGGGATCCGCGGCGTGAAATTCGGCCACTGGTCGAAACGAGTTCTCCGTCGCTTACCCCCGGGGGTTGCATGGCGTTCAATGCCCAGTCCAGATCCACTTTTTCCACCACGTCCATAATCCTTAGCCCAGGGGAATTCGGCCGCGTAATCGAGATTGCCACAATGTCCAGGTGATCCCCTGAAGCAAATCGCGCGACGAAACACCGGCTTTCATACCCACATGCACGAGGTGCTCCCTAGGTGACGATGGCGGTCTCGGGCGCCGATGGGCCGCGATCACGCACCCATGCTATTCCGCCGGGTTCCGCGAAACGGCTTGGAGTCTTACCAGTTCCGATCAACTGTCAGGATGAAAAAAAAAAGTTATCTTCATCATCAAATCAATGGCACGCGAAAAATGTCAAGCTGATCCCGCGCCTCGAAAATCCACCGACAACTCTTTCTGCCTTCCAGCTGAAATAAGTTATTTCATGCCACGTAAATAGAAGGTCAAACATTTTAACGGCTGCTGTTCATCTAAGAGAGGTTTCTGATTTCCGCTTGTGGTCCTATTTATTTTCATCGTTTGCTCGCGCAGTATTTCAAGTAAAGCCAGGACAATGAGAAGATCATAGGTTCCTGTATTCTGAAGGATGGTCTGAATCATTCCTTGCCATTCTCTTTTCGATCATCTATCCGATTTTGCTACGGTGAATTACTGTACTGAATCTGCAAAAAATTCTTACGAATGCATCATTCAATGTTTCCTTACATGAGTGATTTCAGAGGGGATAATATCTCAAATATTCCTGCAAATTTTCAGGGTCAACTGCTTACCCAATAAAAAAAATCTCAGACATTCGAATGATGCTTGTGAGAGGCTTTTAAGAGACCGTGTTTACAATTAGAAATTTCAACTTTGAGGCGTGACGAATTGAAGAATGATACGTCTGGAATCAAAATACCGTTGCTGTGAAATATGATAAAATCGGTGATGCATATACTGTAAAGTATATTATGCAATTTTAAAAAGAATCGTGAGTGTCTTTTTTTGAAAACCTCATCAGGAGAAATATTCTCTTCAACTGCGCATAGAAATACTATATATTTCGATTATTTGTTTACTGAATAAACGTTTAATGAAGCACATAATACAGTTGTTTGACTTCATGCATTCTGACGCATCTGACGACAATTCGGAAATGCATCACCATGCAGTCACTATTCGCCCTTCAACGGTAGAAGTTTATTGAATTTCCCGTCCTCCGACCAGGAAACCGTGGCATATGCCCAAGAAAAATACCATGAATTAATCATGAGTCAGCTTGTGACTCTCGTCCAACAGCTCTACCAGAAACCTCGTCGAGTAAAATAGGAAAAAAAACGCCATTTCAAGTAATGGCGCGAAATCGTAGAATGGATCAGTTCGTATGTGATCTTGAGTGCCTCAAACTCTCTTTCGGGTTCTTTTGATTTACTGCGCTGTTTAGAATGCTCCTGTCGAACCAAACGCATTTTAACCTGCGATTGAAGCAACGACCAATTTCAGAACAACATGCTTTTTTTTCAGGAATGTAGGTCAAGTCCATTATTTTCCAGAATAAGGCAGAGAAACCTAGGAAAAGCGGTATTGAGTCGAGCCGAAAGCACATCAGATGAGGAAGTCTCAAAAGAGCACGCCTCAAAAGGGAAAGTCTCAGAAAAGCAAGTCTCAAAAGAGCAAGCACAAAAGAGAGCGTGTACAAAAGAGTAATTATGACGAGATCAAGTTCCAAATGAGAGTGCGAAAAAAAGCAGAGTGTCCAAAAAAAAAGGTAAGTGCGAAAGGCAAGCGTCAGAAAATCAAGTCTTTTCATTTACGTTATTTCAGGTTATCTCATCCATGCAGTTCTGCGGAATTGCCCCATATGATGCACTTGTTTTCATGCCTGCTCTTTTATCATGTAACCATCTCGTATCTTTGTTTATGAGAAAAAAACGAAAATTTCGGTCTCTAAAGGGCTTTATGACGAACCAAGACTTTTCTTACGGCGATTTTTCCGCTTCAACGTTAATTTTGATTGTAGGCAGACCGCGCGCAGCTAACGGCGAGAGACATATACTACGTACTGTATCACGACCAATCACACCGTCTGTTTTCTGTCAAGAGATCACTCGCAATTTTCTTTATTTTTGTACCGAGACGTATGTCACTCAGTAGAGTCAGAACCGGAAAGCCTAGTCGTTAGAATACTACAGATAATGAGCGATTCCTTTCCCAGGATAAGGTGCGCAAAAAAATGCGCACGGCTATTACCCTCAATTTTGATTTAAAATGCATGTGTGGAGCCGTCTAACCGCAAACAGAGAAGCTAAAATAATTCCTTTGTTAACATATACCGTGTCTTGCATTATTTGTCATTGTACAGTATTTTCGCTACGTGATTTGCTTTATGATGTCGAGGGCATTTTTGAACGCATGAGATTGAAGCAGCAACATCAAATTATATCCCACACTTCCGAACATACAAAATGCGCAGGAGCTCAGCTCATGTTAAACCCATGGATCCATGAGACGCAGATTGAATCACTCAATAACTTGTGCACATTTCAAAGGAGCAATCACAAAGAAGTAGCAATTTTTTCTCACTACGAGGTTCGACCTGAAATATTATATTCTCCTTGTGAGATTAGACTGCACGTTAGGAATTCCCAAATCAGCGAACAAATGACTAGGAATTAACGAGGACTGTTCTGAGGATGAACGCTAGCTCCAAAAAAAAAAAAGTAAGAGAATGCGGTTTAAAAATCTTAAGCAGATCCCTGGGTTCCGTAGTTTACTTTCATAAGATCGATCAAAAAAAATACTAGCTTAATAAACATGAAAGGATCCGGTAAAAATGTCCTCTGAAAATCGTCTGAATTTCCACCGAAGGAACACGCTTCGACTGCGGTAGAATTTTCGTTATTCATTCCTCTCTCCCAGGTCTGATTTCATTTTGAAAGAAGTCCGAAAGTTTTTCTTTGCTCCCGTCAGCATTATTTTTCGCAGCCTGACAGTGAACATTCATGGCGTTGTTCCTCCCACGCCGAACTGAATACCATCCTCGTTGACAATGATAATCTTATTTGCATCATTTCAGCTTAATGTACGGGATGGTTGTTCGGGAAGCTTCTTCATATGGTTATATCAATCCTTCCCTTGAAGTAATGTTTTTAGAAAGTGCTCCGCGGAGCCCTCAGGGCCAGCCTTATGTTCCTAAGGGCTCCGCGGCTGCTTCTTGAAAATGAAGATCGATGTAATGAAAGATTGAGAAAAGTCATTCCGCCATGCGTAACCTATAGTAAGAAAGCACAAAAATTAGAAATCAGGGGGAATAGAACCTTTTGAAGTAAAAATTCAGCCTTTGCACCACTGACTATGATCTCGCTACAAAAAGTGATTGGGACCTGAAAACCCGCTTTTTTTAATTCGTCAACTGCGCACTCGAATAACATTATTGAACACGTAAAACCCATTTAAATTATTTCTCAAAGACAGGAATCCGTTGTGCTGATATTAATTTTTTTATTACACTTCAAATAAGCTTGCTACGCTTTGGCAACTGCTTTCAAAGGCGAGTTTCTCGAAATAACCATCTCAATCATGATAGGAAGAAAAAAATGTTAAAACGAACATGATTCGCAGCTTATTTCATTTTGAATTTGATATTTGAAAAAATTAAGATTTTCAGCGTTCGCGGATAGTGGAATAATTGCACTGTTGGTGTTTGATGGTCCCTGCGAAATTTTCTGGTCAACCATGTACGGCTGAAACTCAAGGGGAATTCTCAAAGCTAATTTGCCCACGTAGCCCAACCATGCATATTGATTTCAAGAAGGGGTTCTTGAGTCCAAACAAGGTTGGGAACCTCTGCTATAAAGAAAATTCGGGTCTTCACGGCAGGCTCCGACAGTCCTTCACAGAACGGTTGAGCTGTACTCGAAATCCTACCAATGCCACACGGCGGCCGTCATCGACTAGGCGTTTTTCATTATTAACGCACCGTCCGACCATCAACATGGGCAATCCTTCGTACAATTAGTCCTATAATTGCTTCTGACAAGACTCCTACTTCCGATCGAGGTTTTTTTTTTCATTCTCTTGCGCCAAATTTTTAGAATTCGTCTAGGGACCCAAGGCATCAAATGAAAGTATTCTAGCTAGTTTTTTTTACTAGCTTAATAAACATGAAAGGATCCGGTAAAAATGTCCTCTGAAAATCGTCTGAATTTCCACCGAAGGAACACGCTTCGACTGCGGTAGAATTTTCGTAATTCATTCCTCTCTCCCAGGTCTGATTTCATTTTGAAAGAAGTCCGAAAGTTTTTCTTTGCTCCCGTCAACATTATTTTTCGCAGCCTGACAGTGAACATTCATGCCGTTGTTCCTCCCACGCCGAACTGAATACCATCCTCGTTGACAATGATAATCTTATTTGCATCATTTCAGCTTAATGTACGGGATGGTTGTTCGGGAAGCTCCTTCATATGGTTATATCCATCCTTCCCTTGAAGTAATGTTTCTAGAAAGTGCTCCGCGGGGCCCTCAGGGCCAGCCTTATGTTCCTAAGGGCTCCGCGGCTGCTTCTTGAAAATGAAGATCGATGTAATGAAAGATTGAGAAAAGTCATTCCGCCATGCGTAACCTAAAGTAAGAAAGCACAAAAATTAGAAATCAGGGGGAATAGAACCTTTTGAAGTAAAAATTCAGCCTTTGCACCACTGACTATGATCTCGCTACAAAAAGTGATTGGGACCTGAAAACCCGCCTTTTTTTTTTAATTCGTTAACTGCGCACTCGAATAACATTATTGAACACGTAAAACCCATTTAAATTATTTCTCAAAGACAGGAATCCGTTGTACTGATACTAATTTTTTTTATTACACTTGAAATAAGCTTGCTACGCTTTGGCAACTGCTTTCAAAGACGAGTTTCTCGAAATAACCATCTCAATCATGATAGGAAGAAAAAAAATGTTAAAACAAACATGATTCGCAGCTTATTTCATTTTGCATTTGATATTTGAAAAATATCAAGATTTTCAGCGTTCGCGGGTTGTGGAATAATCGTACTGTTGTTGTTTGATGATCCCTGCGAAATTTTCTGGTCAACCATGTACGGCTGAAACTCAAGGGGAATTCTCAAAGCTAATTTGCCCACGTAGCCCAACCATGCATATTGATTTCAAGAAGGGGTTCTTGAGTCCAAACAAGGTTGGGAACCTCTGCTATAAAGAAAATTCGGGTCTTCACGGCAGGCTCCGACAGTCCTTCACAGAACGGTTGAGCTGTACTCGAAATCCTACCAATGCCACACGGCGGCCGTCATCGACTAGGCGTT